GGGGTGACAAGAGGTGGGGTAACCAGGCAATGAGGGTGCAACATGGTAAATACGGATAGTTCCAGTATTCACTTTTGGTTCTAGCAATTCTTCAATTGGTGATTTTTAACTAAAGGGCTTAACATCAAATAATACATTCCGAAATATTGAAGCCATGACATGTTAGAGCCACATAAATATCATCAAATGGTTAGATCATAGTAAGGTACAGATTACTGATAGATTATGATTTTGCAATCTGCAAAAATATTGCGAGGTTAACCTCCCCAAATTGACATGAAATTTTTAACAAGGGAACCCCTGTTTGAATCTGTTAAATAAGCAAATGTGTTGCAAGTAAAAATCTTTTATGTGAATACATGATGCAGTTTACAACATGAACATGGGAGTTTTTTTAAGCCAACAGTTCAGTCCTAATGTCCTATAACCAGAATAATAATTGGACCTTATGTAATGTTAACATAATTCAGCCAATGGCTGCAAGGTTTATCAATTAGGAACATCTATCTATCTAAGAAATACCAATCCAAGACTGTGTGTCACGTACCTCGTGTGTCACTTCAAAACAGCCAACAGATACGATTTTTATGCAGACTATTGGAACAACCAGGACTATAAGCCATATTAAAGCGTATATAGATGTAAAACTTCACAAAACAAAAATATAAACGTTCAGAAATAATGGTTCGACGAATAAATAACACAGTTTAATATTGTCAGTTAATCCACCTCGGAATCTACTCCACTCCTCGATAGTGAAACGTCGACATAATTCTGTATATTCTTGATGAATTTCTTTCAAAAAGCCCCCAAAAGAAAAAGCGTGATTGAAAGAACAATTTGACGTTCACTTTGTGCACTTACGAAGACTTTAAGACCGTCAAAATAGCGAAAATTTATGCACGTAGTGCTTCGTATATAGATCAGTGGGAATTTCCATTTTGCGACCATCCATGGAGAAGAACAACAATTTCACCCGAAACCTATAGTTGCTGGCACAGGTGCCCCAGCAACTAATAATTTGAAATAAGGTAAAGTCTAAATATTAAAAAATTGAAATATGAAAATCTGTCTTATACCCTTCGTATAAAATCCATATTCAAGTCTTTTCCCACATTTCTTGAGGTTTTAAATTTGTTTGTCGTTTTTCATGGGCGAGAATAACACGTACGACTTACATATAAGACACTTTGCCGAAAGACATTTTGCCGAAAGACATTTTGCCGAACGGACATTTTGCCGACAGACGTTTTGCCGAACGGACATTTTGCCGAATGGACATTTTGCCGAACGGACAATTTGACGAACGGACATTTTGCCGAAAATAGAGATATCTTCTGAACTTTAAATGTTCGCTTACACGGTCAAAGTTTCTGTGATTAAAGTCATTAATTGTTGATTTTGATGACAGAAACTTTGATAGTGAAGTATAGTTTCGTTTTATATTCTTTCAAGTTTTTGACAAGTTTACCGAAAATTCGCGATATAAAGAATAACATCATTCAACATCATTCATGAATGCGATTTCCCCGAGAACTGTGAATGCATTCAATGATTCTCGAAATGAAATTCGCTTACATCGTCTTTATATACGCTTGTTTGTTTACGATCTGACGTCAAAACACGTTCCTAATAAATGAGTCATCCGCTGCACAAACAACTACCAATAGTCAATATGGTTATGCACTACTAACGACCATTATACACTGCTAATGACCATTATGCACTGCTAATGACCATATAAAGGTTATTTTACACAATGGTTGAGAATTAGACAGTTGAGAATTGAGAGACAGTACCAAACATTTTGACGAAATAACATCTTTATTTTCGGCAAGTTGTCCTTTCGGCAAACTGTCCGTTCGGCAAAATGTCCGTTCGGCAAAACGTCCGTTCGGCAAAATGACCGTCGGCAAGATGTCCGGTCGGCAAAATGTCTTTCGGCAAAGTGTCTTTCGGCAAAATGTCCGGGTACCGCATATCTTTGTCCAAATAGTCAAAGGTAGAAAATTTATATCGAAAAAATTTTGAAAACCGATTCAGAACAACGAGAACTATAATATCTGCAAAACGTTTTTGCAAAAACCAGGGGGGAGGGTGTGAAAACGGCCGTGGGCTCAGAATTGAGCCTGGTCAGTGGTACCTACCATGAAAATAAAGTAAGTGTTGTCATGGAAATGGCGTCATTTTCACTCAAAATCCGCCATGTTTTTGGCGACACTTTGTTAACTGAACGAAGTATAGGAGCAGGTCCTCCAGTTATTATACAACTCAGTCTGCCCTGTACCCAGGCGTCTCTTTGTAAAAAGGCAGTGATGCCCATATGACGTGTTTACATGAAGTATTGTAGTGGGGAGAGATGGCGAAGGGGCTGATGGGAAGAGTGCACTTGAACTGCGAGACGCCTGGCAGTTCTTGGTCGATTTCTTGCAAATTTGTACGATTTCTTGCAAGTTGTGCTATTTCGTTGTCGTTTACGATTTTTTGCTACTTGTTTTTGTTGAATTGACTAATGTTACTATTCTTCTGTCATCCGGGCGTGAATTCATGCTGTTATTCTTGGTATATATGACATATATATGCCCTTAAAGTCCATGGGAATTTCAATGTTAACATGTCAACAACCGAAGCGTTGAAGAACTAGACTTGCAGGAACTAGATTTGTAAGCTATAACTATATAAAGGTACAGACTATAAAATTGCACTATTGTAATAAATATTTCAAACTTTACGGCTGTGAACTTTTATTTACTTGGGCTTTTGGTTACAGTATACATTTAATAGAAATTGCCATTGGCATTGTGATCGACTGATTGAGCTTTCAGCTAAAGAAGTTATTAATACAAAAGCAATTATATGACTTTCTAATCATTTCTCCTTTACTGTTTTATGCTAACTGAGCAACTGATAGCATTTTATTATTCTCCATGTAATATCGAATGACATATTCGAAATATTCGCACGGTTAACTTGTCATGTTATTTACTCATAATTTTTCGCGCATTTTGCATGTCATCGAACATCTACAAATGTATTATTATTTGCCAATGGCGTTCAATTCAACTCTTCATCACAAAGTAAGGTTTTACACACAGAGTATGTAAACTTCAATTCTCGTAAATTTGTCTTTTCACAATACTTTTATTCAGCACTGACGACTGCACTAGTCAGCACTAGATTCGCTAGAAATATGTCACATTGTTAGTTAGTTTACTCAAAAATTAGTGTGTGTAAAGATACTTAACGATCCTAGAAACAGGATTACTTACAAGTTATTGTGAGGTATCTTTCCTTTATAATCAACAATACAAATATATAACACAGTGATAATACCAAACTCGATAAAAGATAAAACTCGTCACAATGTTTTCGCGCCCTTTTCTCCTGCGCCCGCAAGCAATGTACTTCATGTAACAGTTCGTACACGCTCCCCCCCGAAAGACGACGGAGGAGTCTTTCAATCTTAATATAAACAATCTAAATGAAATAGTTACTTAATGATACTACTAGTTACTATGCAACAACTGGTCACTTATCCGTTCACTCATCAATATGTTCCTGATCTTCCATGCATTTCATCAGTTTCTCTTCTAGGAGGCATAGCTTTCTCACGTCTCTTCGGTAGACGCCATCTGCTGTTCGGATTACCACTCGACGTACAACTCCTTCAGTGTCGGGAAACACTTGCTCGACCAATCCTTTCGGCCATTGACCACGAGGAACATCCTTGTCAACCATCAGTACCAAATCTCCAACACTGAAATTGGGCATCTTCTTCAACCATTTTTGAGTTTCCTGTAAAGTGGGCAAATATTCATTTTTCCATCTTTCCCAGAACGTGTCTGCTAACATCTGAACGTGTTTCCATCTTGCCTTGAACTTGTCCAATCCGTCAAACTCACCGGCTGACGTTGAAGGATTCTGACGTAGAAGGAGTATATGATTAGGGGTAAGTGCTTCTAAATCGTGTGGGTCACTTGAGACTGGCGCAATTGGTCGGTCGTTCATTATTTTCTCGACTTCTACCATGAGTGTACGTAAACTTTCGTCATTTAGTTCGCGTTGTCCGACCAACGAGCGCAAAATCTTCTTAGTTGAACGTATTAAGCGTTCCCAAACGCCTCCTTGATGACTAGCTAACGGGGGATTGAACACCCATTCAACACTTCTGCGTGATAGCGAACCTTGGATCCTTTCCACGTCCCATGACTTCAAAGCTTCGATCACGTCAGCTTCTGATCCTTTGAAATTGGTGCCGTTGTCGCTGTAGATGATGCGAGGTGCATCTCTTCGACCAACAAAGCGTAGGACGGCGTTGATGAAACTATCGGTCGATAAGTCTTCTGCTACTTCGATGTGTACTGCTCGGTATCGTAAACATGTGAAGATACATCCAAAGCGCTTTCCTAATGTCTCATTCTTCTTCGATCTCGTTTTAGGGCCAAGCTTGACGTACAGAGGTCCAAAGTAATCTACGCCTACTGCCGCGAATGGGTACGCGATTCCATCGTTATCTGACGATACTCTCACGCTTGGCAGCGGTGCCATCATTTGCTCTCTTAATCTCGCGTTTTCTCGTTTACAAACTTGGCAACTCTTGAGAACACGTCTCACATACGAAACGCCATTGGTGATCCAAAACCGCTCTCTCGTTTTTGCTAATGTCTGATAACTTCCTACGTGTCCGTTAAGATGGTGATAATGCAATACGATCAATTCTGATACCGGGTGGTCCTTCGGCAATATAAAAGGATGTTTGGCGTCATAGCTTAAGCTCGATCGTTCTAATCTTCCTCCCAATCGAAGCAGTTTTTCTTCTCTGAACGGTTTAAGTTGGGCAAGGCTACCTTTCTTTGCCGTCTCCGCATCCTCCGGGAATGATTCTCGCTGAACGTGCTCAATTATTCTCTTTTCAGCTTCTTCGAGTTCGGATACTGATAACAATGGTCTACCTTGTTTGTGGACGCCCTTCTTGTTGTCATTGCTTCTCATTTCGTTAGAATTATGCAACGTTCGTTTGTGACACGCTCTGATCAGCCAGGCGACAACTCTTCGAAGTCTTTCCCAAGTTGAAAATCGTACGTAGAAACAATGAACTCCAAAATTCGCCTTGCACAGCTGTTTCGCTTATTACGACCTTTTCCTTCTTCACGCCTTCGGAATTCTCATCAAGACCGTCTGTCAGATCTGTGGGTTGGGAAGGTCATTCATCGGCTGGTTTCCAGAGGAACTCTGGTCCGCGTTTCCATCGCTCTAGTTTATCTGTCTCGAAAGCTTGAATTCCTCTCGACGCATAATCCGCTGGGTTAAACTCTGATCTTACGTGGCGCCACTGTTCGGGTGTT